AGTGTTATCAAATTTATTCCGGAGTATTCCAAAGGTGACAGATCGAATGCTCGTCGATACCACTCAATTGCTTTGTCCAATGATTCACGATCTTCATAATTACTGGCAATGAATTTATCCTTGTAGATACGACCCGCTAAACATATTATATCGGGCGATACGGCAGCGCCATCGTTACAACTAGAAGTTACTTGCAATACCGTTTGCAAAGCTCGATCACGATCACCCTTTTCGTTACGTCTAAAAAAATTCGGAGAAGATAATGTACAAACAAAAGAAAACTGGACTCCATGTAATCCCAAACAGAAACCTTATCACATGTAGTAGCAGCAACAGTCAATCTCCAAGTTAAGTTTCACATTTTCCAAATACTGCGTGAAGTATTTTTAGGTAGTTTAATAAGCCGAAGAACTAATTATAACAACACTTAGTGTTTCGCACCAAGTAGATTACTCTCAAAATATTCATATGATGTAATGGAAATGTTCGCTGTATAAATACACCGTCGTCCTTTCAGTTTTATACTGCAAACAAATGTCAACTATTTCAAAAAAAAATGCGGTCAAAAAATGACCTATTAAGCGCAAACGCATAAAGGAAACGGATAGCTTGTGCATTTACAATGGAGCAATTCTCAATCCGGCTGAGATCATCGTAAAGGCTTATCATCGCATCGTAATTCTGATAGTCTCTGAAACCAATTATTATTGGTAAAAACCTCATTTGCTGGTGTGTTGCACTGAAGCATAGTAGAAATAATTTTTTTTAACAATTCTTTTAACGAAATTACTTTTGATGATATGCTTTCATGCCAAACAAATACCAATTGGTTCAAAAACTGAATAAAATTTAACATTAATCAATATGACTCCATAAAAAAGGATGCAAAAGCAGATGAAATAAAATTAGTGATGCTACTGGCGAAGAATGTGATGTCCTTTAATCAGAAAAAATCCAAATCACAGATAATATAACAAATGATATGTAGTTTGTAAAAAGCTTTGAAACATTTTTCTCTAACACACAACTACGTTAATGAAAACTTTTTGCACTGGATGACTGGAGCGGCAATAAACGCTTGGTAAAAAATAATTGTGAAAATTAAAAAAATAAACTTAAACATGCCGAAAATATCGTGTCTAAAAAATAATTTAAAAATCATTAATCAAATTTACCTATAGCTTAGCATGAACTGGTAAAGCGTGTCAACACTTAGTACATCCGGATTATCCAGACGATGCCTCATTTTATCGAGAAAACGATTAGCTTCAGCAACATCTTGAGTCTCACGTGCCTTTCGAAGATCAGACAAGAATTTTTCACGTGAATGCGCTGAAGCCTCAATTTGGACACTTTTCAGAGCTTGCTTCATCCGTGAACGGAATGTTACCAAACGCCCGCACTTGGTATACGGCTAAAATTTGATTAACTGTTCAGAAAAGTTTCATGACAGACATGAGAAAAAGATCCATGTCTATATAAACTACGAGAATTTCAATTCGAAAGTGTTGGTGTCCCCTACACCATGAAAAATATATTCCACTGATCTAATGGCATCTTCATGACCATAGTGTTAGCTGAGAGAAGTTAACAGAAAACTGAAAAAAAAAACAAAAAAATCATCAAAATAATTGGCAATTCCGAAGGAAAAAAAGAGTACCTTTTCAGCTATTTGATCAATACTATTTTTCAGCTGCGACAAACTTTCAATCTTCGACGTTTTATCGACCGTTACCAATAATGAACTGTCATTCGGTAAAATGTACACTATTAGCGGTAGATGGGCCAATGTTTTCTGAAATATGTATGTCTTTCAAATACTACATTTCTGCAATTATTTTGTCGACCACAAAGAACATCAAAACCACTCAATATCCTCTATAGAATGATAGAGACGTTAAAATGCCTTTTTATATAATAGCAAACATTTGAGACATAAATATTCTTATATCATGAAAAAAAAACCTGTAAATAATTTATGTAAATACAACAAGAAACAGGCTTTAATGCAAGATGTTTTTTACTGGTGGCACAAATGTATGTTAACTTCGACCCATTACAAAAGGCAAGCTCTTTGTTTTCGTTTCATTTATATTAACGGTTGGCACAAATACCATGCAACAGATATTTGTCCTAACCTTTGACATAAATAAAATGAAATAAAAGTATAAATAAATGCAAATTGAATCTTTCAATCCACAAATATAACACGAACCTTAAGAGCATTAACAAGTGATTCAGAAGTTTCTTCCGTTAGGATGATATTGTATGATTGGCCCATGGATTCACGTACTCCAATGTGATAACACAAACTTGGTTGTTGCTGCGCAATGGAAACATCAACCAATGCAACATCAGCGTTGTAAAAGACATCAAGAGCATTTGTTTCGCCAAAATCAAGACGATCAAAATCTAAGTGCTGTAATGGCTCTAGTAACATTCTTTGTTTCTATGTTTTCAAAAACAGTTTTTTAATCCTTTTTAAATAATCAGCTTTCTTAAAAAAAATACACTTCCAAAGCAAAAAGATTAGCAGAACTTAAATTACTGACATTATTAAATCTTTTGAATTTTAATCTGCTATTTTTTTTTTGAAAAATCGATGCACATGCAGGCGCATGATGCGTACCCACCGTTAAATTAACATTTAATGAATCCGCAACCCTCTGAACATCATTGCAAGCCATTTCACGTATTTTCACATTTTTTGCAGCCTTTAAATCCATTACCAATACAATCTAAAAACATAAGATAGGACAATTATTAAATTTTTGAAATTACTCGAGTCGAAAACTTCAGATATCTAATATGCTACAGATAAGTCTAAAGTTCTAAAATCATTGTTCAACTTTCGTTGGTAATTGCATCTTGCTCTTATTATTATATTAATGCTTGAAACTTTCATTCCTATATATTAATGTTTATAATGCTTAAAATTTTTATTTCTAAATTCATATCTTTATATCTGACTTATTTTCTTGTTCTCTTTTAACATTTCTGTTATTATAATACATAATGAGGAATAGGATTTACTTGGTAATTCCATTTTCCGGTTGTTCGCATAAAACCAAGCCTCATTTTCATTCCCCAAAACCATAACATAGTTTCACTAACTCCATGTTGAACTGGATTTACTATTCGAATTACAGTTCATTTAGAGTACTTCTCGAGATAGAGCTCATCCATAATATGAACCAAGTATTAATTTTTCTGTCGCAATGAAAAGAAAAGGTAAACCTGAAGTTTTCGGGCAAAATGTGCTGCAGCATTTGTAGCATGTCTATCAGTGGATAATTGTGAAGTAATGGCGGCTGGTACACGGGTAATGACCGGAGGAACTGTTCGGGGAGGTAGCGGTATTGGACAAATGTCCGTGTTCGATTGCTCAGCCATTATCCAACTGCTTCATTGCAGATACTTCCGCACCCTACAAGCATCTGGGATTTGTAGTGTTGTTACTACTGTTGTTGACTCGAAGGTGAACTTGATACTGATAAACAATAACCTATAAATGAAATAGCAAAAATTTAGTTTTCCTTAAGTTTTTGAAATATAAAACACGTTCGTTTGAAGAAGCATTTTACTTAATATAAAAGGAACCAGTTTAGAACTCAATTTCTGCACAAGCGTTTAGGCAGGAATGTTTAGTATAACAAATATTTCGTTCAGAAAATAGAGTATTTGTTTAAAATTTTACTTTTTAGTTCACTTAGTGAATAAAATACAATGCTTCTTTCAAGAAGACAAAAAATAAAATAGCATGTAAAAGATTATTGAAATCATCTTAGTTGCTCAACAAATAAAACATAAATATCCATCGTAATAAATACTTTTAATAGGAATATCACACTGAATGCTAATTCGCACATCTCTAGGAAGACTGTTTTGCAAAAGAAAATGAAACAATAAAGGGAAACGAACACCATCACTATCAACAACTGATAAAACACCCACTGATAAAACCCCCATTCGATATCCATAACGCAACAAATAGCATCACCTATTAGACTACAAAGCCACTCATAACACGGCACACGTACCATCTGACGGCCCTACTCTGTAACTCTTTCGTCTCGTGTCATTTTGAAAATTTAATTTCGTGGATAAAAGATCTGTGTGTTATGCTGCTGTGTATATATATATGTATATAAATATATCTTTAATCTTTGCAATGTGAAATGTTTGAGAGAAATTTCGCTTTCTAATTTGTTGTAAAGTTTTAGTAAAGGAAGAAGTAAGAATTAATTAATTGTCTCTTAAATTTTGAAATCATCAAAAAATCTAAAATTTTTAGAAGTTTAAATTATGCTAAAATTTTAAAAATTAGCTTCAATACTAAGAGTAAATTAAGCAGAAGATTAGCTTAGATAGACAGATATTTACTAATCGTTAAGGAAAGGAAAAGGAAAATTGTTCAGCGATAAATGTTTTGCTATTTTCTTATTGTTTTAATTTCAGCCTAACGTTAATGTTAATTTTTAATTTTAATCTAAATCTAATTTTAACTCAATTTTGAGAATAATTTATTTTCATCTTTAATCACATTTTTCTTGCTCTCTCTCTCTTTTACCAGACTCTCTTTCTTACTTTACTTTTCTTTTTTTCTATAACAAAAGTAGAATAAAGAGGAAAAAACGAAAATCACTCATAGCTATGAGCAAAGACTAGTTAAGCGGTACACTGAGACCTATTTATATAACATAAGTTTAGCCTAACGTTCTTGTGATAATGATTACCGGCCTTCTTTCTAATCCTTCTACCTTTGCTTCAAATTTTCGACGATAATTTTGCAGAAGGTTGGGATACTTTGAGACCTTTGTATTTGTTATTTCCACGATATTTTCAAAAATTGATATTGTTGAAAAGAGGTTGAATTCAACGTCTTAATTCCACGCCTTCATTTACTTTTAATTATTAGATCAGTTTATGTGATATCGTTTGAATTGAATGAAATCTTCGACTTATTTATAAAAATTTAAGAGAGAAATTAACGAACTGGGATGATTCTTTCAACTGGACGTGCAGGCTTAGTAATTGATAGTTTTATCGCGATAGACCAATTTGATACCAATCCAGATGTCAAGTATTTTTTTCTTTCCAGTGCTCATTCTCGTCACTGCCGGAAGTTAACTGTAAGTTTGACTTTAAATTTTTATGCCTGCTAGGTAAATTCGATATTTTCTTATATATGTTAATTATCTATCTATGTATTATTTATGTATGTATAAGAAAAAAAATGTTGTTTGTATATTTTGAAAAAATTTCATTATTCAAAATTTTAAATTGAAAATGATAGACATGCATCTGAATCTCTTTTTTGATTGGATCACATCAAAGTTAGCTTAATTTGCTCACTTACAGTCATAATTTGTTTATTGACTGAAATAATGATGATTGATAGACATACGCGCTTTTTAAACATGCGGTAAATTGCGTATCATTCCCAAGAAATGAAAGTTTAGTTTGAAAATGTTTTTCAAACGATAATTTTAAATAGCAGAATTATGGAGGAATTTCGAGGTATAATAACAGGTACGATGAAATCATTTTTAATTCATCTGTTCAATAGTATTTTCTAATATCTAGTTTAAAAGTGAATTTATAGAGTAAATGCCAAAGCGATGGAATATATTGTTCACCGACAACAGCGAAATTGTTACCTCTAATAAATAGTCGAAGAAAACGATACAATATTCCAGATGAATGGATTCGGCCATTGGATTTAAATGTTTGGCACGAAATGGGCGGGTTTCAGGTGATGCTTATAGATGCAAATCATGCACCTGGCGCTGTTATGCTGATCATTCAAGGTGACCATTGTAGTACTCTGGGACGGATCTTGTATACTGGTTTTTTCCGAGCCGATGCAAGATTTTATCAGAATGTGATGGGTTTATCAGTATTGCAAGAGGTTAACATTTATTCATTATTTTTCGATTAGGTAGATTTGAATGCTTTACAGGACTTTTAAAGTTTTTGACATTTAGAATCGATTTTAGAAACTATAGCATCAGGGTTTTCCAAACGCAAAGCGGAATTCTGTTGTCGTAAAAAAAAGGATGAATATGAAGCAGAATTTTAACACTATAGAATCAGAATAATGAAACCGTGAAAGAATGGCTGCGGAGTCAGAAACCTGACATTTTGAAATCATAAGAATTTTGAAATGTTCGAGGAACATTTTTTCCAACCAGTTTAAGGAATCAGTTTTTTTAAGAAAAAATTTGATATTATTTGCATCGATTCAACTTACGTTGATTTCGCGGGAGAATTTCCAAGCAGAAGATCTTCAGCAAAAGAAGCAGCAAACCTTCTTCGATTACTTAAATATAACGGAGTTGGTAGCGTGGCTATTCCGGTCCCAATAATTGGTCGTGAAAGTTTTTTGGTCAACATATCTCGGGAACTCAAAGTATTATTTATCAACCATTAATGGTTACCTTGCTATATGTGTTCAATTCTCTTTCGAATGTTGGCTTTTATATGCCATAATTGATTACTTTGGTATAAAAGAACAAAAAGTTCCCACTATTCTAGAACAACAAATTGAGATTTAAAAAGAAAACAAATTAATAACAATGAAATTACAAATAATAATGAATTGAGGTATAAAATCAAACCTGATACAACTTTATTATCACACATTAGGTAAGATTGGAATTTACATTACCAGGAATGACCAAAATTTATGTTTATTGCAACTTTCAAAAACAACTTTTCAAAAGTTCAAAAATTTTTACAATACTAATAACTTGTCTTGTAAGAGTAAAGTGAAATTTTTGCAGTGCAAAATTTGGCTGCACCCAGAACGGTTTGAAATTGCACATATTCTCGGAATAAATGATTATTTTTCGAACACAAAAGAAGATACTTACATTTGGACTTGCTCAGAAATGTTCGTTTTCTCTAGATGTCTTAATTTTTAGGAACAAATAGTGCTAAAGGTATTTCACTTCTTATTCCCAAAAGTTGCCGTATTTTGAATTCTTGATTTTTTCTGTATATAATTTAATTTGTTTCTTTCCTCGTGTAGTACTTGTTTCACACTGCTAGTATTTGTTTCATATAGTACTTGTTTCACATTAATGATTACACAAGGCGATAACTGAAGTCACAATTAGCATAAATAACATATCATTTTCTCTTTTTGTTTCAGAGAAGGCCAGCAAGTTCTTTCCACGACTGATTCTCATGTTATCAAAGCTTCCATAACACCTTATGTTATGCCAAATATACCATTGAAGTGAGAATTCTTATATGGAATTTTTAGCGATATTTTCTTTGCATTTACATAATTTGAGAAATTCTGCTTGAAAATTGACGGAATTTTGCCTTTTTTATGCATATATCTTTTTTTAAACGTTTTTCTTCAGTTGAAAATTCGTTTATTTGTGTATATTTATAATTCTTTTATTTATTCGTTGAATGCTTCATAATTCATTTACTTATTACCAGAAATTCGTTCAGAAAAGTTTAATCAACAGTTGAGTTAATGCAGTTATTAAAGCTGCTAGTATTAGCTTTTCAATTCTGAAGTCTCTGATAATTTATCACAAAATTTTTCATAGAAGTGATTATTTGTTATTAAGAATGTCAAAATTATTTTAAATATAAATGCAATATACTGCGATCATTCACTCCGATCTTTGTTTAGTATTACACGTCTTTTAAAAATGTAAATAAGCGATTGTGAGCTTTCGGAACAATTTTCTTAATAAACGAAGAATTATTATGATATTACGTTTTATCCGTTCATTGCTCAATAATCCGCTCAAATCCTTTTTGTACTAAATATTCGGCACTAGCAATTTTCAGCAACGAACGAGAGCATTTGATTCGGTATTCGGATCACTCCAGTTCAGCTGAACTACAATCATTCCTTTCGTTGTTATCTTTCTCACATGTAGTTAGTACACCAAATAAATTACCACCTTTGATCGAGGATGAATTGAAAAATTTGAGTTTATCTGGAATGAAAACAGTACATTATTGCAAAGAAGAACATGAAAGCTCAGAAGAGTTATTATTTGATCCTTTCAGAACATCTTGGAGGTTAATTTTCACTTCTAATCGTTTATGATAATTGGTTATATATTATATAACTATAACGGTTGCAGGTTGAAGAGATAATGCAATTTAAAAGTGAGTTATTCCTAATTTGGAAGTGGGTCTAGATTGCTCAGTTTCTGGTTAGTAGTTGTTAGGTGCACAATCGTTTTGATGGAGTAATACCTTTATGAATAGATCGTAAGGAAAAAAAAAGCGTTTGTTTCAGTTTATAAATAGTACCAATGGAAGTAATCAATCTATTAGAAAGAAGGGTACATGTGTTTTTTTAAATAGATGCTATCAAAAACAAATTTCTTTTTTAAATACATGAACAGGTGAATACAATTGATTTTAGATTAACAGATAGTGCATTTAATATGTTTTAAACTAGTTGTGTTGCAGGATTGGAATAGCGTTTGATTACGCACTCAGAAAGTTTTATGATCAGCTGTCTGCAATCGAGAATTCTCTCCATTTACTAAGTGATCAAAATATGGGAGAAATGTTACCAGAAGCAAGTCATGTTGACAATTTCATCGGTGAACAACATTTAAAAATGAACATTCCTGGTATTGATAAATCGGTTAATGTACCAGATACCCGGGATTCAAATTCAATAACTTATCCATTCAAAAAGTTTTTTACGAATTTCATTAGTGTTATTTTACGTAATGATGATAAAAGTGATACTGAGGGAGAAGAAGATAGATTGGATGAAATGGCGATATTGGATGTGAAACACACAGAAGATGACTCTCAGGAAGTGGAAAATTTTTTACAAGATACTTGTGAAAGCGCTGGAAGTAAAATATCTGTTACAAAAATGGCTACCGGAATATTGGAAGAACAATACGATGTGTCGGTCTTGTTGGATTATTTTACGAACGCATTCTACACAGAAGATTTCAATTTTGGTTCTACAGAAGATGCGGAATTTCTGGAGCTTCTTTCCAATATGGATATTTCGAAATTTTTCAATAGTTTTGATGATTTGTTCGAGAAATATCGGGAAAGCGTGGGAAAAACGTCAGGTAATCATTCACTACATTCTAATTTGTAACTGGTTGGAAGCAAAATTCTAAAATTTACATTTCTTGTATTTTTTGTTTATTATAGTTGGAATTATAAATCAACCGTATCATGTTGAAGAGCACATTTGTTACGATGCTTCAAATGGGCCGATGCTTCCAGATGTTGTGCACGAATTGTTGCATAATCCTATTTTAGAGTTGCATCAGGTTTTATTTTATGCAGAACTAATAAAAATTGAAAACAACGTAGTCGAAATTAGAATAGTCATTCCACGGGAATTCCGTCTTAGATACCCTTTCATATGTTGAAGCAAGTGGCCGAAAATGTCGGGGCATATATTGTTCCAAGTTTGTTAAGTCGGGACATATACTATTCCAGGATTGTGTAAGAATAGTGGCAAACGCTGCCCGTATTTTGAATCATTCGTAGAATAGGCTTGAATCTCTTTTTTTATGGCGATATATATTTGCTCTAGTTACAGCTTAACACGTTGCAATAGATATTGATTCATCTTGGTGATAAAACCGTATGAAGCGTGCAAAAAATGCCAATCCACTACTTTTGGGATTTTTGAAATTGCAAGAATATCTATTTCAGGATGGTTTAATGTGACCACAGCGAATCATTATCTTAAATTGTTCAATACTGAAAAATTTCCTGAAAAACAGAAATTGATGTAGAATTTTTAGATATGAATATTATGAAAATTTCATCATCACAACATTGTTTCGCTTAATTTTCATTCGATTCAGCTACATACATCTCAGTAATTTATCTTACTTTCGGCCATTTGTACTAATTGGCTAAGGACTGTGAAGTGTTGAAATGTTATACTATTCGTTTAGGCAAATGTATCAATGAATTTTTACTTAGATAACTTGAAACTGTGAACAATGCTATTTGACGTATATTTCCTGCATTTCAATGTTTTATTTGTAACAATATTTTATTTTCCTTAATTTGAATTGTTTATTTGGTGGTGTGGCGATTGGTAAGTTCCGGTATATTAGTGAATATGCAAATATTAATGCATTTAAGTACATTTCGGTATTAAATTACTTGAATTAAAGGGTAAACTGAGTATGTAGGAATAGTAAGAATGAAGAAATATGAAGGAAGAGATGTTCTAAAACTTGAGCTAAGGCGTGGTGAAATATATGTTCGAAAAAAGGCATTTTTTGAAATTGAACGAGATGAAGAGAAGTGTTGAAACATAAACATCTCTCGGTCTCTAAGTTTTTGCAAAACAATCCGATAATTAAATCATTAATGTTTTTAAGTTGCAAAGAAATTAAAAGATGCAGCATAAATATTAAAGATATTCGATATTAATTGAATTTAATGGAATTTAGGGAGAAAATCATCGATAAACCGGGAAAACATCCTTTTGAAGGATAAATGTAATCAAATATAATTATAACCGATAAATGTAATTAAATATTATAATATAAAGTGTTAAATTGTGCATAAATATTTTTACTATTTATTCATCTCATAACAATATTACAGTGATTGTCTGTTCAATAACCAACTGTATGGTTTTCATCGGTATGAATCCTTATATGCCTCTTAAAAGCCGATAAATAAGGGAAACGTTTTCCACATTTTGAACAATTGTATGGCTTTTCACCGGTATGAATCCTCATATGTTCTCTAAAAGTTGATGGATGAGAGAAACGTCTTCCACATTCTGAACAACTGCACGACTTTTCACCGGTATGAATCCTCATATGTGTTTTAAAAGCCGATGAATCAGGGAAACGTTTTCCACATTCTGAGCAATTGTACGGTTTTTCACCGGTATGAATCCTCATATGTCTCTTAGAAACCGATAAATAAGAGAAACGTCTTCCACATACTGAACAATTGTACGGCTTTTCATCGGCATGAATCCTCATATGTTCTCTAAAAGTCGATGAATGAGAGAAACGTCTTCCACATTCTGAACAATTATACGGCATTTCACCGGTATGAATTCTCATATGTCTTTTGAAAGCCGATAAATCAGAGAAACGATATCTACATTCTGTACAATTATACGGCTTTTCACCGGTATGAATCCTCACATGTCTTTTCAAATCCGATGATCGAGAGAAATTTTTTCTGCATTTCAGGCAACTATACGGTTTTTCGTCAGTACGATTGTTCATATGTTTTCGTAAGTTCGATGGGTGAGGGACACTTTTTCGGCATTCCGAACTACCGTGCGGCTTTTCACTGACATGAGTCATCGTATGTCTTTCCAACCAAAATGCAGGATGTCGTAATTCTTGTTCGGCATTCGATCCCTGGATTAGTAAATTCGGTGACTGTGTTTCTTCTTTACCGATATTTGTCAACAAATGAGTTTGAGGCTTTTCACCGATACGATTTATCAAATGCCTTTCCAGATCGAATGATTGAGAGAATGTTTTGTTGCATTCCGAATAACCATGCAACTTTTCA